ATAAGGAAAAATTAATTATTTTTAATAATATGTGGAAATCTTCACTTTTACCTGAAGACGGTCGCAAGACCAGAAACACTTGTCGTAAAATTATGTAAAACAAAGCATAATATTTTTTTCTAAATAAATCCATATTACAACCAAAAACGTTTGCGGCACCTCTCTTCTCTTCTTTTTAATATACATACTTTTCTCTCGTTGGAACCACTACAACATATTTCTTTTATATATATATATATATATATATATATATATATATTATTGATTAATTAATCAATTAGCTTATCTTCATACCCTGCCTAGTGGCAAACACTGCTGGTGGCGCCAGGGGTGGTGGTCCTGCCATAGCCACCGAAACCATGATATCACCCCTGGTCGGTAGCTGATGAAGACAGGGTATCACATGTGCTAACACACGTTGTATGTTCCCAAACTGCGTGAATTTAAATGTTCTACTAGGTTGGCATCTCAGTCCCATCCTTTCACTGTCGAAATGGTTAAATTTTTTTTTTTTTTTTTTTTTTTTTTTTTAAGCATTTCACCCCAAGCAAGGCGGGAAGCCACTAGGACGCAAGGGGTTACAGAAAATAGGAAGATCAGATAGGAGTGATAGAAGAAAGGATGAGGGTAGTAGATAGATTAAGGCAACTGGAAATATCGATTGACATTACACTTGAATAGCTGGAGATTATAACTCACAGGGAAACAGGAGAAGGGAAGAGAGTTCCACAGGCGAGAGGTGCGAGACATGAAGCTATTAGAGTAGAAGAGACGGCTACATTTAGGAGTTTCGACAGTGAAGGGGTGAGAGTGGGATACCAGCCTCATAGGGCGCTTGAACTCATGAAGTCTGGGAACCAGCGAATGCAGCTCCTCGGAGCAATTTCCATGAAAGTATTTGTAGAACAGACAGAGGGAGGCGACGGTGCGTCTGTGAGAAAGTGACTGTAGACGAGACGCCAGGGCAGGGCCAACCATATTGCATATCCACTTCTGGAGCCTATCAAGAACCCCGAGGCAAACAGAAGGGGCGCCAGACCATATATGGCAGCAATACTCCATGCAAGGGTGAATTGTGGATTTGTATATCTGGAGGATTGACTCAGGGGAGAAAAACTTCGTAGCACGGCTCAGGGAGCCAACTTTCCTCGCAGTGGACGAGGCATGTAGCCATTTCTTCTACACCAATAGCTTCATGTCACACACTTCCCATCTGTGGAACTCCCTTCCTCTTACTTGCTTCCCTGATAGCTATAATCTCCAAATATTTAAATAAAATGTCAATCAGCATCTCCAGATGCCTTGATCTATTCCCTGTCCTCCTCTTCATCCTTTCCTCAAGCACCCATCTTTTCTCTTACTTTCACTCTCTGTAACCCCTGGCATGCTAGTGACACTCCCACCTTGCTTGGGGTGAAATGCTTAAAAAAAAAAATTTATCTGTCTGTCAATATATCTATCTATTGACCAACTTTGTTAATGCTATGTGATTTCCACCTGAATTTCTGGAATGATTAGTTATCATTATTTACATTCAGACCAATGTCCTCATCTTTGTTGCTTCAGAATCTGGGCGATCATGGACTTCCCAAATTTTTTATCCCTTGCAGCTCTAATGTTTAATATCCCTCATAATCCTTGTTCTGTCATCCATTTACATAAGATCATTAAGTAGCTGACTCTCTGTTTTCCTCTGTCGCTCTTGCCTTGTCCAGTGTGTGTCAAACTTTCCAAGCCTTCTTCCCTCATTATGTGTCCCAGAAATTTCAACTGTTTCTTTTTGATTTTAAGTGCAAGTGTTTTTTTTTTCATTTCCATTCTCATCGCTCACATTCTCCCACCATGGTTTTCTCAATCAACACCCTCGCATTTCTGTGACCTCAAGTCTTCTCTTCATCTGTGAGGAAAGTTGTCCAGCATTCACTGCCATAGAGGAGGATTGATATTACATGGCAGTTCAACAGACTCTTCTTTGTTTAATGCAATTTTCCTGTTTCTTATGGCTTCCAAAAACTGGAAATTCAATGCATAAAACTGGTTAAAAGTATGCAATAATGAAAATCTTGTTCTTTGCAATAAAAGCCCAACACATGAATATCAAAGAAATCAATGAAGCATATCTCTAATGTCAGTTCTTTCTTTCTTTCTTTCTTTCTTTCTTCCAACATTTTTCTATTGTTTCTTTTTCTCTCTCTTTTTTTTCTGTTGTGGAGGTCGATGCAGAATGTTGTTTTTAACATTATTCAACATAAATGAACGTTGAGTGAACATTGTTTTAGAGGGTTTATTTTCTTTTTTTTTTATGAATACAAATTGTATCCATCTCATGCAACAGAATTTGTAGCTCATGGTACATTGGAAAAGAGAGAAAGAAAATGAGATCCCCACATCCTTCTTTGTAGCAGACAGTTGTCTTGATTAGTCCTTTGGTGCTTAGAGGAGTGGATGAGTCTGTCTCACATTCTGGCAAAAGGCAAGAGAGGACTGACCTCAAGCCTTCTTTTCCTGGGTAAACCCAGGAAAAGAGGGCTTGAGGTCAGTCCTCTCATTGTCAGGAAGTGCAGTGAGTGCAAGTAGGATTGTTGTTCAGTTTGATACAGGATCTTGATTCTTTTGTTTTTATTCAAGTATCTGGTTTCAAAAACAAAGTTAGCTGATTGGTCTGTCCTTAAGAATGCCGGTGTTAATGTTAATGACATGTCACGGTGATATGTAGATTATACTTTTCAGGAGATTTGAGAATTTTTTTTTTATTTATCAAATTTTGCATACTACTCTATTTTCTTTATAAAGTTCTCTCACTTCAGCCAGTCAGTTAAGTGGCATACGTTATACATGCTTGGATGATCATGTCTCTTATAATTCATGACTGATTCACACAGTAGGTTGCCATTTGTTTCTGTCGAAGATTGGTTGCCACCAAAGACAGTCTGTCCTGCTATTTAACCCATAGCTGGGCAAAGAAGAGACCGATTCATCCCTTTCCCAAGGCTATTAGTGCATAAGTGAATGTAATAAACTCAACTGGAATTCAAAATTTATTGATTTTCTCTTCATTTTTCTCTCCTTTACTCACTTCCTTCTCAATTTTTATTGGGTTCTCACACCACTACTATGCTCACCTCCTACCACTTAAAGTCAAGGGCCTTGTATTGCAGTAGATATTGAAACCAGTTGTAAACAACCAGTAGTGAATGACACACATAGTTTATCAAGGTTAAGTCATATACTAAACTGGAATTATTGTTCAAGGAACACAAGGTTCTTTTAGATCCGGTCTTACCAGAGAACAATAAGTATGTAAATATGACAAATGAACAGCCAGGAATGACAAGGAAAACTGCAGATATAACACTCTCTCTTACTCATTAGTCCTACTCCTTCTCCCATTTTTCTCTTCTCTCTTAATTTCACTCTTTTTTCCTTTTTTTTTTCCATTTCTTTTATTTCTCTCAGTTTTTCTTTTTTCTTCTTTTCTTTTTTCTAACCAGCCCAAGCAAAAGAGAGCAAAACATTTAAACCTGATCAGTACCTAGATGGGTGACTACTTGGGAATGTCAGGTGCTGTAAGCTTGGATGAGTGGGTGGTGTAATGGAGAATGGCTCACAATTGAAAATCAGAAATTGGAAAGCCAAGTTCTAATTCCAGACAGTATTTTTTTATATTTGCTTACACGCAAATACCCTTGGTGAAAAGTGTAAATCCACTGCTTTTACCCCAGCTATGCATTAATTAGTAGGATTTGTATCAGTAAATCCTTATGATAACCAAAAAATTCTTACAATCTAAAAATATTTTCTGGCTTTAAATAACCAGCAAAGGGTTGATAAGCTGTAAAAAAAAACCCCAAACAATCTTAAAATTTCTATCTCTCTTATTAGTCCACTCCCTCACACTCACATTTTTCTCTCTTATTATCACTCTTTATTCTTATCTCTCTTGGTACTTGAGGTCAGTCCTCTCTTGCCTTTTGCCAGAATGTGAGACAGACTTATCCACTCCTCTAAGCACCAAAGGACTTGGTATCTTCTCTCTAATATCTAACATCTCTCTCTCTTTCACTTCTAACCACTTTCTCTCTTACCCTTTTTTCTTTGCATGATTCCTTCTTTCTTTCTTTCTTTCTTTCTTTCTTTTATTCTTCCTATCTCATAAGTTATTTCTCTCTCATCTCTCTTGTTTTTCTCTTTTCTCTCTTTTGTATAACGCCTCCTGGGTATGATGATAAACTACATCCACGTCCTGGGTAAGACAATAAGCTACATCCAACAGCAAGGACACTGATCAGGAGGTTTTGTGGAGCGTGAAACCACCTCTTAATTGCTGGTGTTCCCAGGTCCACTCTGACCCGAGGTGGTAGCACCTGTTAGGGTCCCAGTTATGGGCAAATAGTTAACACCAAAACTGGGGTAAAAACACTTTGAAAGTGTAAAAATAGGTTTTAATACCAGAAATACTTTGTAAAATATTATTACCAGCAATTTTGGAAAAAAAAATATTACCAACAATGTTTATAAAAAATAAATATTACTAGCAATACATTTTTGAAAAAAAATATTACCAGCTGTTGTGTCGGAAACCTACCACCCTCTTGAAGATGAACTTGTCTGCGTCTGTGAACAAAGACTTTAAATAGTGGCATGTCAGTTGACATGACGGAAGACAGATAGACCGAGAAGTTCTTAGCTGAGCTAGTTATTGACTATTCAGGCGATTTCTGTACCTTTTTACCAACCTATTAAAACCCTTTTTATTGTTACGTGTTATTTGGCATTTGTCTCTACTAACCCCAAATCAACATCATAACACCAGCAATACATTTTTGAAGGGAAAATATTACCAGAAATAGATTTTTGACAAAACAAAATATTACCAGCAATAAAAATTTTGTCAGCATTAAATAACCCATTGAGGTTGATATGCCGTAAAACAAACCAAACCAAACCAAACTTATGTATAACATTTCTATTTCTTTTTCACTTGCAACTTTTCTCTTGTT